TCATTGATCCTCTATTCCAACCCTTTTGGAGTTGGAATTTTAAAAAAAAATCCTTCGTCAGTGGACAACTGCGCTATAAAATCTATCTATTGTCGAAATTTCAAGTTTCTAATCCCAGCGGTTTAGGCTATGCGTTGATAAATCAGTCGTTCGGTTTCTCCTTTTATATTTACAGATAGTGTATCACTATACTACATTAATTACGTGCATCGGATCATACACTTCAATGAACAATGGTTTCGGATTACAAAACACAAAAATTATCGGCCCTCGTGCGATTACTGATCCGGTAGTGTATATTTATTATACGTACGAGTAATAATACTATCGTAGCGGGTAGCTTCATAAAAAATCATGGGCACCGTCGCCATACAAAAATTTGTATTAATACTCAACATCTTTATGAAAGTAACCTCATAACATAATAATACGAGGTACGCCTTAATACCATACCATATCGTATAGTTTAATTAAGAATTCAATTTTATCAGTACAGTAATCAACGATCGTTTTAAATTACATAATTTCTTTCGCACCTATACCTAATCGCGTTAGGTCCTTAGATTTCATTCGATCAAATATTATTATTAAAAAACTTTCCTAGGATAATGGGGACGGGTGCAGCCATTGTAATAGATGAGAAGTTGAGAAGCTAGTAGAGGGGCAAATAAATGTATACCTGCAGTGAGCAATGGTAAACCGTTGCTAACCAAAAACGATTCTGAGCGGAGTTTGGTTGATAGTGTTGCTTTTTCAAAAATATATTTGTCATATTATGGTAAAATAATTACATTTTAAGCATTATATATTTTCTTTAATACTATATGTTTAATATTTTACTATTTTCTCGTTTTTCCTACTTTTTTTAGCATTTATTGGAAAAACTCCTAGAAAATCAAAAAATAAATTCTCTAAAGTATAACCCCAGTCAGGTTTTCTTTTAGAAAGAGTGCTATCATTGTAAATCGGAGCAAAATCTCTGATAAAAAAAAGGTGTCCGCAGAAAAAAAAAAATAAATTCACATCATTGTAAAACCATAAACCTCTTCACTCCACTCAAAATCTAAAAAACTTGGGAGTTTAGATAAACTAATGTTGATTATGAATCGCCGACATCTTCCGCTTAGCCGTTATTCGTTGGAGCCAAAGCTAATGAAATAATATTCAATTAAAATTACAATTGTTTTCTATACATTTTGTCAACCTAATCAGATATGGTCGACTACAATACACGGGGTAAAGACGTTTATATTATATTGTCTACAATACGAATTTCGAAATAACGCGTGTTGGATTTAACACGTTTTGCGCGAACCGGGACGAATATTATACAATTCATTTTGTTCGAATGTAGCGATAAAATATCGAGTTACGTTTTAAAAGTATAGCGTTAAAAGTGGTTCTTTGCAATGGACACAAAGTAGAGGTAACGATATCGAGCTATAATTTGTTTTTGCAAATAGCTGTTCTAGTGATAGCGTGATATATAAAGAAAAAAAAAGTGCAGCGTCCCGACCACTGGCCACCGTAGTCTGAGTAGAAATTGCATAATTTTGGTTTTAGAGTAAGAGTACTTGTTATAAAATTAAAAGAGGACAATATTTCGGATGGTGAAACGATGCGCTTTTACAATTATTCTAATTACCATGCCGGTTTATAATGTTCAATAAACCATTTAAGAATGAAACCTTATTTATCGTTTTTATAAGACAGTAACATTTTAAAAAATGAATTGAAAAAATTTTTCTCTGAAAACCAAAATTCAGTGAGTTCTACGCAAGCTGCGTAAGGTACATTTTTCTCTATCGCCCGTTAATTTGACTGAGACAACATACGCGGGTATAGCGTCCATTTAATGTTTCAATTTTCAGCGTCTTGTGCTATCCGAAAATGCAGTTTAACCGTCGTTAAAATTTCTCCGATATTTTGGATCCATGTTATTCGCGGTCATCCGCGTCCTCTCCTACCATCAATCCTCCCTTTGAATAATTATCGCAAGTATTTTATATTGATCACCTCGTATTATGTGTTGAAAGTAACCCGATTCACGTACATTTGCCATCGTGCTCGTAATACTCGTACTTTCGTTTGCCCGTGCGTTCTAAAAGGTTTGTTACGCGGCATTTGGTAACGGTGCCTTTTACAGGTCGACAAATTTTCCTTTCAAACGCGAGAAGTGTGTTCGTTCGAATTTTTCAAACGAGAAATATTCATTTGAACATTGTAGTGAAATACACGGCGCGGCGGGGCCACGAAACACCGGAAATACGAGATTTTTTCCGCTTTGTATTTCGTAATACACACATATAGTTTTCGCTGATTCGAATATTATTATTGCCGCGCGTATTGCACGCCGTCGCGGTAACAAAAGTGTTTTCGCACGGGGAGAGGAAAAAACCGATATCCTGTGCGGTGCGACGGCGACGCAGTGACGCAGACGGTGTATCATCATCGCGTGACTGTGCGGTTGTATCTGTAACCGCGGGGACGGCCCCGTCCATCAATATAAACGAAACGAATAAATGTATACACGGCGTATAATATACAACACGTAGACGTATATTTCGTGACGTTCGGACGGGAAACGCAATATGTTCAAAAGACGAGACGGACGGACGGACGGCGGGGAGACACGACACAAAGAAAAGCCCGAACAGCCGCGTATATATTTTTACAATAATAGAGAATATCTGCGACAGTAAGCTCGGATTGTTCAACTCCATACAGATACGATGATAATAATAACATTATGATGGGTAGCTGATATGACGGTTACGGCGGGCGCGCGGTTTTTTTTTTTTTTTTTTTTCCATAGTCGTCCCGTTTCGGGTCCGTCAGAGTCGCGTGCGTCGTCGCTAACAAGCGAGTTTCGTTCCCCGACCATGTTATTATTATTAGTACGCGGTATAATAACCGCACGCACGACGACAATATAATATGATTATTCTTTGACCTTTTTGTAAATCCAGTTTTTTTTCGGGAGTTTTTGTTGTTGTTTTTTTTTTTTTTTTTCGACGAGACGAATTATATGTGGAAAGTCCGTTGCACATCAACTTTTTCGTAAATTTGATCTATACAGGTACAGTACATTATTAAAATAAAAAAAAAAAAAACACCACTTTAACACAAGGCGAACACTGAATGTAATAATGCGGTTGTTATATAGCACCACATAACTCATTTAGTCACGGAAAAATGTATTCACCGTGATTAAAAATAACCCTATAACAGGGAAATCGTTCGGGTTTCCGAATTATTTCAGTAAATAGTTCAGTTAATAGTGATGCATTGTTAACAATATATATATCAATATAAGTCATATTATGTTAAAATAATTAAATAGGCATTATATATTTTCTTTAATAATATTTGTTTAATATTGTATCGATTTGAAATGTATCCTTTGAAATAAAATCGAATTATTATAGAATCGCGTTAGCACGTGTGTCAGGTTTTTACAGACATAACGATTTCAATTAATATGCAATTTAAAAGTGCCCGCTGATTTCGATGGATTATTTTTGCACATTTTCTACACGGTAACGTTTTTTTTTTTTTTTTTTTTTAAATATGATTTTTCCCTCAGTTTGAACGATAGCACTAAATTAGAAAAAAAATTATTCCGTCTTTGTATTATTTTATCTATATCAGTCAGTACAAAGCATTGGTCATTTTTTTTTAAACATGGGAGATGTTATGTATAGTTATATCATTGAGTTTATCTTTTTAAATTCGGAGCGTAGCGAGGGAACTATGGATTTTACTATATGTTTTATTTTTATTTTTTGTGTCTGTGAACAACTTTGCTGAAAGGTAATTTTCTCTCGTTGGTGTATTGGGGTGGTCATTTTGATGAAAATCATAATTATTACGGCCTTTCAATACTTGTATAACCGAACTCCGCTCCAAATCGTATTTCTTTATCAATGTTATATCGTTGGTTACAGGTATAAAGTAAATGACTTTATCTATTACACTTTTTGCACTGTCCATCTACAACAGTAGTCACATCCGTTCCTAGTGTTAGCTCTTTTTTCTTTTTCTTTTTTAAATTTAAAAGGAAAGATCCGATTTGATCGGTTTCACGGCGTACAGCGTTTTCACTTTTAAGTTTGGGTAGAATAAAAGTTGCGACGTTCGTGTAAAAAATCGTTTTCACATTTTACAAAATTGAAGACAATTTGAACAATGGTTTCTTGTCCATTTTATTTGATTCACAAGAATATTATTTTAAGTAGATAGAAAATTGAGATTCAAAAAAAATATGAAAAACCATCATAGTAAAACCAATAACATTCATTGCTACGTTCAAATGTATTAGTAAAATTTAATTTATTTTGTCAGTATATGTATCATTATTTATATGCAAATATATAATAAATAAAATTAGAAAAATAGTCGTAAACGCAGTCGAAAAATTGTTCTATCCCGTGGCAGGTCAATAAAAACATTTGATTAGGTTAAGAGAACATTCGGTTGTTAGGGTAAATTTTTTCTACGCACCGAATAAACAATCTAAAATATATCACAAAATATCATTTCTTTTTGCTCAAAAGTTGATATTTATCATACGTGTTTTTGATATTTATAAAATATGGGTACAATAGCAATCGTAGGAAGGTCGTTGACCAGTATTAAAAGCGATACTCCTGAACCGTTGAAGATAGCTGACGTAAATCATTTAATCGTAAAGAAAAGACGACGATCGCCGTCACCGACGGATTTCGAGTTTTCAAAAAGACACAAAAGAAGAATTCACAGAAATGCGAAGAAGAATAACCGCTAAGTGTTTGTACTTCTTTATAACAATATTCTTCTCGTTAATTGTTGTACACAACGGTCGTAGTATTACTAAATACTATTTGTAGTATTTAGTAATTTTTTGAATTAACAATTATCGGGTGATATTAAACTTTTTCGGGTTCTCAGTGCCAAATAATTATACGGGTGGGCATAGCCTAAATTAGGTAACCGAATATTTTTTAAATTCAATGTAGAGAGTATACTTACGGCTAGGTAACAAAACAATATTCTCGTAATCGGATTGCAAAATTGACTGCTTAAAAATACGTCCTGCAACTCTGTAATGCGTTTTCTGAAATTTGCAGGATTAGTGGTATCTCCTTCGCACAATCCGACGCATGTGTCCTACATCCCCAATGCGTCACCGTAGGACGTGAGTACACGACGTTCGGAGTTCGAACCGATACTCATATCAAGCGATTCGACGAGTGGCGGCTCAGATGATGAAACGGATAGTGTGATGATGTCACGTTTGTCCAGTTCGTCATTATCGTCGTAAATATTTTTGATAGTATCGTAACTAATAATGTTCGATATTTAAAAAAAAAAACTATTAAAAAAAAAATTTGGTATTCAAATTCTTATGTATAAAAAAAATATATATATATATTAAACTCAACTTTTTTTTTTGTTTTCCACGGAACACAACTTATAGAAATAAACCTCCTGTTAAATTATCAAGCATTTTTGTTTGATCTAACAATGTTATCCACAGAGTAACTACCTTGATTCTTTAGGGGAAGAACTGCACGTAAGGGCGAAGTACCCCATCGTAGCACCATGATACACTCACAAAAAAACTACCTTGATTCTGAACTGATTCCCGTTAACCTGTTAGCAAGATTATACATTTTTAAGTATTGGTAGAGGGAGTAGTAGAGCATCATTTGTACGTCACAAGTGACTATCGCAAGTGAAGATGATAAAATGTCTACGTGAATCGCCTTCTTGCATTACCTATATATGTAACGTCGACATATTATTTTATAATGATTGAAACACGGTGTTTAAGTAAAATAGGCCGTAATATTTTTATTTTAACTAATACTTACATTTCGTACATTTTCCCATTTTTCCTCCATTTTTTCTTTCGGTTTTTCACATTTATTCAAAAAACTCCTGAGAAAATCGAAAAATTACCTCTTTAAAGTATTTCCCTAATAAAATTTATTTTTTCAGAAAAAGGTACTAGATTTAAAAATCGGAGCAAGATTTCTGGTAGAAAAATTGTGCACAGATAAAAAAAAATAATAATTAACTTCTTTGTAAAACCATAAGTTTCTTCGCTCCACTAAGAATTTAAAACACATCATAGTGAAACCAATATATCTTCCTCGAGTCGCTCATAATCTAAAAATATCTAGTCCGGTTTACGTATTTATTGATAGACGTGATCACTGACTGGTATCTCTCGATTCGAATTATAATTAACAACGAAATAAAAGCATAATGATGGTCGCTATATCATGATAGTCGTAAAATTAACTGCTGCGATGTTAGTAACTATCATGAACTCTCAGAATACTATCGTTAAAGCTGCCATCAAAATACCATGCACGTGCGGCGATAGTTATAGCTTTATAGTTATCTTGTGAGTAATAGTAGCGGACACGTCATATACTATCGTTTGGTTTTACTGTCGTGACGTGATACGCCATGACAACGGTACTTTCACACACGTTTCCGTATTCATATAAAGTCACAACTCTACGCTCGTGTTTTTTGCGCCTTCTATTATTGTTGCATCACTCGTGACAGCCTCTATTATATATCGTTTACTATCGCGGCGGCCGTTATCACGACAGTAACTACTATCGTATCGCGTGTGATCCGAACTTAGAAGCCCGTCCAAGCCACGAGAGATGCAAATTAACAGTTGCAGCAGCAGCTGTTGCACACGTTTTGTATGATATTTTTGGTAACCGCGACGGATCATTGTCGCAGACGGCGTCTACCCGCACTTTCTTTTGCATAATATACGTGGTGATGGTGGTGGTGCGCGATTTGATTTTATACGGTTTTGTTCGAATATTCACGTTTCGTGGCCGAAATGCACCGTTTCGGAGTGAAATCACGTAGAACACAATAATATATCAACTAGTATGTAAAACGTCCCCGAAATGCGCATAACATTACGAATACGACATCGACGATGGACGTTCAGCTTTTTTTTTTTTTTTTAATATTAATATGTGTCGACGGTGAAATTTTTTAAATTTTTTTTTGGAAACTCGCGTGCAATAACCACCTTTACACGTAATTATTATTATAATATGATTATGACACGTCGACGAATAATATTATGGCCGACACTTGACGACGGAACATGGAACCCGAAAGACTGACGGTCGTTTTTTCGAACAGCTGCATCGCGTATAACATTATATGTTTTATTGGCGAGAAGACAAGTTAGGAACTGATAAACCTGCCGTAACGTTATACGTACTTACTACTACGGTGTAAAAATATCGCAGATACTGACGGATATATTATTATTATTTTTTATTTATTATTATTTTTTTTTATCGTACTGTACGCGTTTTAGAGCTGCGTGCGAAATAAGCAATTAAATCGAAACTGGTTTAAAGCCCGGGTCGAACTGCAGCGCGGCGATAGCGAAAATCGTCGAGAATAATATATTTCTATACGGCGTTGTTCGAACTGTGAGGCGTACTATTTATGTAGGTTTTTATTATTATTATTTTTTTTTTTATGAATATTGTATAATACGAATGTGCCGTGACTTTCGATCCCGTATATAATGACTGCGGGTTTCCCCGACGAGGGAAAATCGTAAAAAAAAAAAAAAAAAAACCCCTCAACGAAAAATAATATTATATGCGTGCCCACGTGCGCTTGTAAATCACTCGATATTTATTTTTATTTTTTCACATATGTATCAAACCGGTGACGAGAAATCGCGTGTGATATTTAACTATAGGTATACATGGTGTCCCGCAAATAATGAACCGATATTTTTGGTCATTAATACATTTTCGAATCGATAAAAAGCATCGAGGTGGGTTGTTCACACTACACCATGTATAGTATCGTGTCGTGGTTTTAATGATCGTGTGCCTTCGTTTTCTATGCTTGTACCAAAATACAATACAAATGATACCAAAGTCCTTATCTATTATATGAATATTGTACCTGATGATAATATTTTACAATTTTTTTTATCATTTCTCTGTAGGTAAATGTAATCACACGATCAAAAGTTGAATATATTAAACTGTGCGCTATCGTTTGGTTACTGTAGTATCGTGTGATAAAATAACGATATTCCATATGGTATACCTTCAATAGAGCCACTCAACCAAGTAGTTCAGCCAATCGGAGAAAAGTATTTTACATAACACGACACGTTATGATGTAGTGTGAACCTCCCTTCTTATGGAAGTTTTTCTCTGACGACGTTTGTATTAACACCAACGGGTGACTTTAGAAGCGACTGATGACTGCAAATCGACTTTACCGCTTTGCTTTCATTCCGCATCGGCACGATTCTATTACAGTAAAAAACATTGGATAGGTCGCAAAGGAAACCAGGAAAAACAGTTCTTCGTTGCTGGTCCTCTCGTCCTCCAAGAAATTCCTCCGTATGCACACTTCCTCTTTAAAAACTGATAAACTCAATAATTGATAATTGAGCTAATTATAAATATTTGATATTTCTGAGTTTTCATTAGTTTCGATTTAATTTTATGCGGATATATCAGCATAGCAAAGTTGAAAACTTAAAAATTTAACTCGAGTTTCTTCGTATTATTATAATTCGTACTTGGCGGTAAAAAAAAATATGGTTTTTTATTGCGTCCTACCTTCCTGATCTCTCACACGTGACACTCGCACACCCACTAGCACGATCTGCAACTCTTTACATTAAACGTATCTCTCACCAATGGGAACGTATTGATTGTATTCAAAACCGTTGCATTCTCTGTGAAACGCCCTGTATATATAATATCATATATATAAACGAGAGAATGCTAACGACCGATACACGAGTGTCGAAATAACGGTTTGCGCGTAGTCTCGGGGATCTGTCCGTACTCGTACACACACTGATTTATAGACGGATGTGTCCAGCGAAAAGTTACCTATATTATTGTACATGTGTGTCGGCCGAGATCGGTGCAATCGAACGGAGTGGCGGTATACGGTCGTAGGCAATAATAATAATAATAATAATAATAATAATCCGAATGGTGCGATTTGTCTTGTCACTTGCGCGGCGTCGACACGTATAATAATAACGTAAAAGTACGGCGAAACTGTACGGGAAATCTTGTACGCGGAGTATGATTTTTTTTTTTTAGTTCGTGTACTCGGGGGCGTCTTTCGCTAGACGTGCGATTACGGCGTTCGACCGCTCGGTTTCAGTATAAATACAAATATATACGCGCAATAATCGGCCGCCACTATACTATACGTTCACGCACAGTTGTTTTCAAAAAAAAACTCCACTAAATACGTTCAAAAACAAATAAATAATTGATTCGTATTGTTGATTTTGGCCGTAGGCTAGATTTCGACCGTTTTTCCACTTTTACCACTTTTACTTCAAAACAATTTACGAAATCTCTGAACACATGTCCTACAAAAAGTAAAACACGTCTCAAGATATAACTATGGAAATATATGAGCGTATATATAGCTGAAAATGCGAAATATATAATGTTGTGCACAGAATCGTTTTGTAGGTACCACGAAACGCGTTTTGGCTCGAATATATTTTTATTTATTTTGACCTGCAATTGGTAGAATGTAAAAATATGTAAAATATCTGCCTTAATTTCAATAAACGTGACACGAATTTCGCCCGGATAATGATTGCGTTATAAATTTGACGTGATTTTTCACTGCCAGTCGATAGATATTTCCAACTGTTACGACTAAAACGGAGAATTACTTTACGTATATCATTACAATTTTACATATCGTACCGTGTCGTCAGTCAGTAACGTAATTGTTTTCACCGTAAAAGTGGAAATTTCCCTGCGCAAATTCAATACAACGTTCGTTGTAAGTTATACTTATCAAAAAAAAAATTTAAATTTAGCGTATTGTAATAGTTTTTTTCTAATCTTTTTGATTTCAAATCTGTATGAAAATCATTTCATTACATATATAACTTTGTGTACAACCGAAACTTAGCTGCAACAGTGGCATACCCGTCAGCAGTATTAGATTCTCTTTTTGAAAATTGTGCTCCAACAATATTTTAATTTAAAGTTACTAAATATCTAAATATTTATTGTAATGATCAGAGATCACCTAGTGTATTATGGAGGGCTAGTTTCTCGGCTTGTATGTTTTGTGGAGGTTCAGCTGCCACAACCCTCCCCCCAATTTCCGCCCATTTGTAACCCACTACCCATCCATTTAAATCCCAGACGGTCGAAATCGGTGTCGTTCGAATCCTTATAATATTTCAAGTTCGAAACGAAAACAATTGGCTAGTTTATCAGACAAAAAAACAATCATGTCACTAATTCTTTAATAAAACCTAGTATGTTATCGTATGCGAATTGAGTTCTGTATTTTCTAGTTTCTGGGTTTTCTTAAAAAAAAAAAAAAAAAAAATTACAGTCAATTTAGGAAATGTTATAATGTAATAACGGTTATAACTATAGATGGTTATGAATCGAGTATCCCTAATATTGTAAATCGTTTTAAGTATGTAAATTTCATAATAATACGATATAGTTATTGTATTGGTAATTGTCGTATTATAGACATTTTTCGTAATATGGAAAATTTGATTTTTGTGGTTCTATTTCCTGAGCCCACACAAATGTACG